TTTGCATGGCATCATGACAACTGCTTGAGAAAGCAGAAAAACCAAAAGCAAAACATATACAACAGCAACATTTTTAAACTCACCTTTTCGTTATAATCTGAAGGATTTAAAAAATATTCGCTCAAGTGAATGAAATAGCCTTCTAGCTGCCCAATTAACAGAATCAGGATCACCCCATTGGAAAACTGGGAAATAAATACAGTAATGAACAGACTTTAGTTAGGACAGAGGACTAATTCATCTATTTCCAATTAATATTTAACTGTTGTTTAGATGCAACAATGTTCCTCTCCTAGAAAAATAGGCACTTTTTGAGTCTTTTTCTAATACTGATTGAAGTACAATATTGTTAACAATGTTCCGGTTGCCTCACTACCAAGAGGATTTCAAGGCCCTGAGCAGGGTGCAGAAATAGTTTACCAGGCTGTTGCTAGATTGGGAGAGTATAAGCAATGAGGAGAGATTGGACAAACTTGGTTTGTTTTCACTTGAATGTCGAAGGATGAGGACGACATGATAGAAGTTTACAAAATTATGGTCGGTATGGATAGAATGGATACTCAGAGTCTTTTCCACAGGATAGAAATGTCAATTACTAGTAGACATGGGTTTGAGGTAAAAGGGGGAATTTTAAAGGAGCTGTAAGAGGTAATTTGCTTTTTTTACACAGAGTAGAGTGTGCCTGGAAGGCACAGCCACAGGTGGTGGTGGAAGTAATGTTTAAGAGGCATCTTGACAGATATATGAACAGACAGGGTATAGAGGGATATGAACCACGTAGAGGCAAAGGGTTTTTTCGTTTAGAAAGGCATTATATGTCAGTGCGGTCTTAGTAGATTGAACGGCCTTTTCCTGTGCTGTACTGTTCTTTGTATATAGATATTTCCTAATCAACTTGTTCAGAGATGTTGTTACACATCTGGAGCAGGTGGGACCTGAACCTCAGGTCTCCTGGTCCAGAGGTAGGGACATTGCCACGGCACTAGAAGAGCCCTCTTACTAACAATGTATCAGAGAATGGAATAATAAAATAAATTAAATTCAGGGTGTTCACTTGTTGAAATCAATCACTCCACACCAGATGATCTTAACAATTTGTTACAATTCTATACCTTTTGTTTTAAATCTTATGAGCATTGTTGTGTGGACAGGTTAGAAGCACAGTGGAGGATGATATTAATAGTTACAGATCCTAAAGGTGATCACGGTGTAATGTCCACGTTTCCTTCCAGGTTCACCAATTCTGTCTTCATTGTTGTGCTTTCACTTTCTAAATGTTCTCCCCAGCCCTGATGGTACTAATTCAAAATGGATTCTGTGTCTACAGGTGCTCACAACCCATGAGCTTTCAACCACCTGGTGGTTCAACCAATCACTAGGCCGCTTGCTGTTGTGTGCGAATTGAGCCATTAAGCTAGAAGAATGTAGAGTCAAGCCTGTACCTGGCTTCACCCAACAACCTATGTGCTGTTCCCAACCTCAACTCTCAACACCAAGATTCATTGGAGCATTCCTACACAATACAAGTTAAAGTAGTTCTCTCAGCATTTCATCAGAGTTTATGGCTTAATTCCTCATTAAATAGAGCTTTATTCCCTTGGAATCAGTGTTCCTGTGGGTTACTTCACACAAATAGAAGACAACATATGACGATGATGTTCACAAGTGAGACTTTCAATACATTTCAGCAATAATTCTCAAGATTGAATTTCAAGATTCAATTCTCAAGACTACATCTCCTGTATTTGATGAATTTTTATCATAAGCTTGCTCACTTGCTCACCTGAGTAAGGAAATATTAAGTTCTAGTTTCACCCGAGGTTAGTGCACAAAAGCCAGCATAACACAGAGGGAGAGCTATACTGTTCAAAATGACATCTTTCGAATGAGACATTAATTGACGCTCCATCTGTATTCTCAAGGGGTCATAAAATATCTCACGGCACTAGCTGAAGGAAGATCTCCTTCCTCTCCTGGCCAACATTTATCCTTCAAACAAAGTCACTAAAAATTATTTTGTCATCATCACAAAACTGCTTGAGGTAGATTGCAGTGTGTAAATTGGCTATTGCATTTGCTACACTACTATAGTAACTATACCTCAGAAAGTTCTTCATTAGCTGTAAATACTTTGCGAAGTGCAGAGGTCATGTGCAGTGCCATATAAATGCAGTTCTTTTTAAACTGGAAAGTAAGAAAGAAATTGAGAGATTTCATTTTTTATAGTTCAAATAATTCAGCTGGAATTTATTTCAGACACCATTTTGTCCCAGTGTTGCTGGAGACCAGAGTCCAATCAGAATAGTGCTGCTGACAATTAACCCTTTGGCAATTTCTGCAGATCTCTTGCCTGGGCACAGCAGTTGGCTGCAGTCATTTATTAGAGTGAATACCTACATGGTGTTTCAGTTTTACTGTTGAGTATTCCATCCAAATAGTAGCTGAATCTGAACAGTGACACACCTGTGCACCGCAAATACACTCTGCATGTGTCAACCACTGGGGTTAATACTGACGCATGCCAGGAGAAGACGCAGGTTCAGGACAGGGGGTTCATGAGGGGCCTGAAATAAATTCCAGCTGAATTGCCTGAACTATAAAAATTGAAATTGCTCAATTTCTTTCTTACTTTCATTTTGTTAATGGTTCAATTTTTAAATGCTTTTTCATGTTTTCCTTTGATATCTGGAACAAAAATACAATTACCCAAAGGAAGGTTTGGGGTGAAAAGTAATTCACTGAAGTGTCACACTTTGTTTGCTTTGAGCTTCAGTTTTTATTTTAACATTTTGTTTATGTTTGAAGCATCTTAGTTTCTTCCCTTTTTGTCAACCCATCTCATCTAAACTTGGCAATGTTAGTGCTGTACATTCTCAGGTCTCATTACAGTGATGCTATGCCAGTTTTGACATATGATCAATGTTCCCGTGACGGAGGCTACCCACATAATTTAATTTTTAGGCTGTGCTCAACCTGTCGAGTGGAGATTACTCCATAAATAGATGTTGTGGGTGAGCTGTAATGGTGAACATCTGAAAAAAGTGAATGCTAATGAGTTTCTTTGAAAATCAATTGGAGCTTCTTTATGGAGCAAACTTGACGAAGCATAGTTACATCTGCAGAAATGAACTTGTTACTTTCCTCACAGAGATTACACTTTGACTGGTAAAACGCCGGTAAGGAATTAGAGTTACTAAACAACCAAAAGAACTGTGGATGCTAGAAATCAGAAGGAAAACGAATCAGAATGAATGCACTTGAGTTGCCCACGATTCTCTGGAACTAAACAGGCAGTGCTATCGACAGCACAGGTCTTCACTGGGCTTGCTGAATATCTGTAAATAACATTTTCACCCAATTGTGAGAAATCACTTTGTACATTGCTGGAAGCCATCTAATAGCAGTCCTCATTAACATTGAATGTATTGTAATCTATAGCTTTCGATTTTCAATACATTTGACTGTAAATAAGTAAAATATCTTTCACAGGATATTTAAAGAAAATATACAGACCTGTGTGGTGAGGTCCTTCACAACCACACCCAAACCACCCAGATGTTTATTAGCGAAATGAAGCATTGCCTAAAAAAAAGAAAATCAGGTTATCTTTGAGTCAACACAACGTCAGAGTGTCATATGCAGAGTCATAGAGTCATTAGAACACTGAAAAAGACTATTTTGTCAATCAAGCCTAGGTTGGTTTTTCACTATCCTGTCAAGTCCCATTCCCGCATTCCAGCCTGTTAGTTCAAAGTTTACTTCCAAGTAGCCAGCCAATTTCCTTTTAAAACAATTGATTTTTTTCCACTTGCACAATCCTTATAAGAGTTACAGCACATTGCCACTCAATATCTAAAGAGGTTTTTTCCCCACTATCCCTCTGCAGTTCTTTCCCAAAACCTTAAATTTGTGTCCCCTCATCCTAAACCATTGGCTAATGGGGCAGCATATGTTAAGTCTACCTTATCTAAACCTGTCATAATGTTGACAAATTAAATTAAAAATACCTCCTTTGTTCCTAGGAGAACAACTCCGGCTTCTCCAACCTAACCTTGAAGCTAAAATCCCCCATTGCTCGAAACATTTTTATGGATCACCTTTGCATCTTCTCAAAGAACTTCACATTTCCAAAGTCCAGTGGCTAGAACTGGACACAATACTTGAGTTAACAAGGTGTAGAGCTGGATGAACATAGCAGGCCAGGCAGCATCAGAGGAGCAGGAAAGCTAATGTTTTGGGTCTAGACCAAGGGTTCATCCAGCTCTACACCTTGTTATTTCAGATTCTCCAGCATCGGCAGTTCCTACTATCTCTGTAACAATACTTGATTTGCAGTTTAACCAAAAGCTTCATGAAGCTTTTGCACAAGTTCTTTGCTTTTGTACTCAACGCATCTGTTTATGAAGCCTAAAATCCCATACACTTTGCTAATTAGTCTCAATATGTTCTGCCATCTTCAAAGATCTATGTTCACAGACACCACCACCCACCCAAGATCCCTTCGCCCATTTTCAACTGGGTCATTCAATCAATATGGGATGTCCTTTCTGCAAAAACCCGACGCTTCTATATTCCATCCAACAATGGTCTACCTGTTCTGCTGGCCAACTATGTCTAATGCATTGAATTGGCATCATCCTCACTGCTTACCATCTCTCCAAGTTTGGTATCACTGGCAATTTTTAAAATGTTACTCTATTTCACAATATTAATTTTTGTGCAGTAAAGAAAGCACTGGTTCACAGAACACCACTATCACCCTCTGTCCTGCAAAATAACCATTTACCACAACATGCTGTTTTCTTTCCCTATATCATTTTATATTCTTATCTATGTAACACATAAACTTCGGTTATTTATTAGGAATCAGAATGAACTAAAAAAAAACTGTGGATGCTGGAAAGAGCAGAGATATTAGTACCTGAGGAGGTAGTTTTTGCACTTAAACAAAGCACTTGTCACATTGATTGGCAACACTGGATGAGGTGCAGAAATCTTTGATACATCATTGAACTAGTTACTAGGCAATTTTCACAGCTAGGCATATATTTGTGAAAAGAACAAAGTGTGCTGATTGGCAAAAAGATCTTAACAAATTGGGTTAAGTGAGGCTCAAATGAATAAATCCAGACTAATATTTTTTATTCAGAGATGTTCACCATTTACAATACATGGAGATTTTATTCCCAATATTTTTATACTTTTTCCTATTAAGTGGGCTTGCCTTGTTCTTAGGAGAACATCAAACATGGGATTTCCTGCTTATATCTTCTCTCCTCCCCACAGTGGTGAGATAGCAACAAAATTCAGCCAAATGTCTGTTGTTGACCATGGTGCAATTTTCCCACCAAGTACATGTCTAAGGAGACAAATCTCTCTTTTTTACTAATCCCATGTTAAAACCAGTCTGTGCACAGAAGGTTCAACTATAAATAGGATGGGCACTGCAGATGTTTGCGTTTTAGTCAAATTGCCTGCACAGGATTTTCTCTCCTTCCTGCTTCTGATATGCATTTGTTTTTGAAGGTGGCTGTACCATTTTCTATTCGAGTAAGCTGGGGCAGTGATCGTGGGCAAGTTTCTCTTGGACTCACAGTCAATATCAAAATTCTTACGTGAAGCCTTAAAAGTGTCTTTGAGGTTCTTCCGTTGACTGTCACGATAATGCACCTCAGACTCAAGCTCTCGATAGAAGATTCACTTTGCTGAGGGAGTGTCTGGCATTCCAGCTACATGACACAGCCAACTCAGTTGTGACTGTCTCAGTAAGGTGTGCATGTGAGCTCAGGTGAGCACTTTTTGTCCTGTCATCTGATCTTCAGAAACTTCTGAAGGCAGCTCAATGGAAGTGGTGGTCATTCTTGGTGTGATGCTGGTAAACAGTCCAAGTGTCACACTGACAAGCAGACTGGGAGGGCAATTGCTTTAGAGTCTTTCTGTTTTGTCGACAAACTTGCATCACTTTTTGCAATTTTTGCATTTATCTTATACCATCAATATATAACAGCTTAAGAGAATGAACTTATTCATTGCTGACCGGCTCTGGTCAGAGACCGAAAGCCTGAGCTCGAGATAATACTTTCCTGGAGCAGGCTAGTATCAGTTCTCTTCATACTGCTTCTCAGGCCCAAGTTGTCAAGTACATCAGATAACAGGTTATTGTTACATTGCACGTTGTGTTCTGAGGTACTTCAGAACATTCAAACCTTGGGAATGACAAGGGAACAGATCTTGATCTTTAGTTTGTTAACGATAAAGTGGCTAACACACAGAACAGTGTTGCACCCAAAACATTATTGCTAACAAAGAGGCGGAGGACTGTGTCAGAGATTCAGATCTCATGCGCAGCACCCATCTGCAGCAAGAAGAGACCATTGATGTTACAACTGCCAGCTCCCATTGTTCCCAATGACCCCTGTACTGACCAGATGACCTATTGACAGAGAGGCATCCACCAACTTTGTGGCATTCTTCTTTTCCGCAGTCACTCCAAAAGGAATGTGTCACCCACACTGATTTCTTTCAGCTCACCCCCCACACTGCGGTGGATGAGTCTCACTAAGGGTGATGATCTGGATACTGTATCGAGCCAACTTTCTAATGCCAAGAGCAGTTCTTCCCTCAGACCTGTCAGTTGTGATGTTAACCATGAGGATGCGCACATTCCACATGTCAGTGGTGACCATGGTGTCATCCTTACTCTCCTTTTCAAGATTGGCTCATGACTGTATTTGACTCCAGCTACAGCCTGCTAGTCAGAAAGGTAAATCAAATAACATCCAGGCCATCTTTTCTACTCCTTTCTTATACTAGAAAGGTGAGCAGTGGGATTCTGAAACGACTGCTTAATTGCTCAGGAAGCTACTGGGTTCCACTTCTATTTCCTCTCACTGATAAACAGCCCTTTAACCTTAGTGGCTATTGGGCAGCTTCAAAGCTCCAGTTCACATGACTCCACAGGAATTGTGACATCAGATGATAGAGGACAGATGATAGACAAATGATGAACATGAGCTGTGCCTGTTTTGGATTATAGAGAGAGACAGTTACATATATTCAGCCTCATTCTCTTGTTCTGACCTATCTCAGTCAGTAGATGAACCCAAAAGACTCAAGATAGATCTGAATGCAGTGTGTGACCTGGGCGGTTTTTTATTTGCTCACTCATTGGACATGGGCATTGCTGGCTGGGCCAGAGAACTTTAGTTGGCCTAGAGAAAGTGGTAGCAAGTGGCCTTCTTGAAGTACTGCAGTCCATTTAGTTTAGGTACATCCACAACACTATTAGGGAGGGAATTCCAGGACTTTGACCCAGTAAAGGAACAATGATTTATTTCCAAGTCAGGATGGGGAGTGGCTTGGAGGGGAACTTGCAGCTGGTGGTGTTCCCATGTATTTGCTGCCCTTGTCCTTCTAGATGGAAGTGGTCATGGATTTCAAAGGTGCTGTCCAAGGTGCGTTGGTGAATTTCTGCAGTACATCTTGCAGATGGTACAAACTGTTGCTACTGAGCGTCGGTGGTGGACGAAGAGAATGTTTGTGGACGTTGTGTCAATCAAGTGGGCTGCTTTGTCCTGGATAGTGTCAAGTTTCTTGAGTGTTGTTGGAGCTGCACCCATCCAGGCAAGTCGGGAGTATTCCATCACATTCCTGACTTGGGCCTTGTAGATGATAGACAGGCTTTGGGGAATCAGGAGGTGAGTTACTCATTGCAAGATTCCTAGTCTCTGACCTGCGCCTGCTGCTACAGTATTTATGTGGCCAGCCCAGTTCAGTTTCTGGTCAACCATACCCCTCAGGGTGTCGATAGTGGTGATTCAGTGATGCAATCACGTTCTTTCTTGTTGTAGATGGTCGCTACTTGGCAGTTGTATGGTGTGAATGTTACTTGCTACTTGTCAGCCCAAGGCAAAACTATCCAGGCCTTGCTGTATTTGGAAATGAAGTGCTTCAGTATCTGAAAAGCTGTGAATGCTGCTGAGCATCATGCAATCATCAGCAAACACCTTCACTTCTGACTTTATGATGGAGGAGTTGTTATTGACGAAACAGCTGAAGATGGTTGGACCAATAACACTAGCCTGAGGAACTCCTACAGAGATGTCCTGGAGCTGAGATGACTGACCTTCTACTATTACTTTTTGTATATTTTGTGTTTTGTTGAGCTCAGGGTGTTATACAACATGGAACAACCTTCACGACTGATTGGACAGCCTAGTCTACTAGAAAGACAAATCCCTAATCCACTAAGTGTAGGAGACCAATAAACTATCCCAATCTGGTCTGGACCGCTCATCAAAACAATTTAATAGGATATAGCTGTTGTTTCAAGTTAACTACTTGGAGCCTCACACATCAACTCAGTGAAAGCAAGGACATTATGGGACAAGCTACTTCAAAGAGTAGACTGAGCCCACCTGTGAGAAATGTTACCCTCTCTTATACCATGAGGTGTAATCATTCAAGGGCAGGGATGAGGTAGAGGATGATGATTAAATAATCCATCAGTGCTCATTACCGGAAGTTATGTACAACGAAGAACTTGGATGAGTTACTGAAAGGGTGCTGGGTACCTATAGAACTATACCTCAACAACAATGTGCATTTACATTGTGCCACTGAGTTTAGTAAAAAGTCTTAAGGAAGAGGAGGGGCATTTGAAAAAAATAAAAGTAATGGAGAACAACACGAGAAGAAATACAACTCGACTGGAAATATAATACCTGCTGTACTATTTTCACTTTGTCAGGCCCAAGTTTAAAGAGGTCATTAATGCCATCAGCTTCTAAAAACACATTAAAAATCAGAATAATATTAATGTATAGCATGCAGTTGTTATCATGAGAAAAAAATTCTTGAGATTTTAATTTGAAAATACCGAGATTCAATTTCCCATACAGCTCATTTAGACATGTTATAGACCAAATAGCAAGCCACCAATCTTATTACTTTAAACCAAGAACTCCTAACCTTGAAAGAAGTCATTTAAGTCTATTTGAAATACAAATACCAAAAAATGACATTGGGGAGGGAAGGCAAACACAGGGGACAGGCACACAACTAGCTAAAACTAAAATAATTCCAAAACTACCCAATATTTCACTTAAATGTGTTATAGAGTGCACTAACTAAGGGAAGACGGATTTGATGCTAATGATGGCTACAGGCACGTTCAGGTGATCATGACAAAAAAAAACAGAACTTTTTTTAAAAAAGAAATATAAAGAGGGATTTAGTCAGATCAAAGTAATCTAATTTTTGCTAATTATAAATACTGTTAAAGTACTGAAGCTGTAAAATACATTTCTGGCTTAACAACTACAAAATGTTGACTGGTAAAACATATATTTGAGGTAGCAAGTCACTAGACTATTATGGAATGTTATGATTTTTTAAGTCTAACAATATCAAATAGTTTATATGAAAACTGAATTTTGCCGCATGCATTTTGAAGAGTGAACATTCAATGTAGTGAATCTTCTTTGTTCTAAGTATAACATAAAGAACTTGCCTAGATTTACCTCCTTTCCAGTGTGCACATTATAATTCTGATATCATTCAATGTGAACTTTTCATACATACATAACCACTATCACCATGCTTATTCAATCTGGGATCCACTGACAGCCAGAAAAATTGTGTTTTGTTGTAGTCAAAATTCAGCCTTGTTTATTTTTTAAAAAAAACCAGCAATCTGGAAACATTAGGGAATTTGCTGATGGAAATGGTTAACACTGATTTAAAGGTCTCTGGTTTATAATGCAAAATAACAGCCAGGTTGGAAACAGGCATGTTCTAGAATTTTTTACATAACTGTCAATTCTTTCTGATTTAAAGATTCAGTCCATAGATTTCATTCAAAAGCAAGGATCACTGAGAAAGAGAATCAAAGGGACAGATCTTCAATGACACAGACACCAAAGCAGAGAAACTTATTACAGACTTTATGGAATCAAATTATGAGCTATCATCTGTTCTTGAGTTCTGTGAAATTTATTCTATAGTTTGAAGGCTTCAATTAGATTTCAATCATGTACCATGTTAATGTGGATAGTTATCTCAGGAAGGATCTTACCTGGATTTTGGTCTTGCTCTGTATCATCACTATTCCAAAGAAAAATGAAGTAACTATTTAAAAATGAACAAAACCAATTCACTTCATTCTGTCTTCCTGTGTAAACAGAAACTCATTTACAATCTAAGGGCAAATCAGTTGACACGGAGGCTTCATGCTCAGAATTATTATGAGGATGCGTGACATAGTAATGCCATGTCTCAAAACCGAAGATTGTGAACAAAAATACAGATGAGTCCAGAACCTTTTAACAAAATGTAACATTTGAAAATGATAATTTTAAAAAACACCATTTTTGTTGTTAGACAGGTTGCAGTAATTTAAAATGCTGTTGCTTAGAGGGATATGGGCCAAATGCTGGCTAATGGGAATGGTTTAATTTAGGATATCTTGTTGGCATGAACTGTTTGGACTAAAGGGTCTGTTTCTGTGCTGTACGTAAAGTAGAATCACAGAATCCCTACAGTGTGGAAGCAGGTCATTCGGCCCATCAAGTCCACACCGACCCTCTGAAGAGCATTACACCCAGACCCACACCCATACTTTATTTCCCTACATTTCCCATGGCTAACTCACCTAGTCTGCACCATCCTGAACACTACGGGCAACTTAGCACGGCCAATCCACCCAGCCTGCACATCTCTGGACTGTTGGAGGAAACTGAAACACCCGAAGGAAACCCATGCAGACACAGGGAGAATGTGCAAACTCTACACAGAGAGTCACCATAGACAGGTGGAATCAAACCCGGGTCCCTGGTGCTGTGAGGCAGCAGTGTTAACCACCGAGACACCATGCTGTCCCATCTCGAAACTTCAGTTCAGGGGAAACAAGTTTCAAATCGGAGCAAAGCCTGAGCCACTCAGGCTCAACCCCAAGTTCATAAACAAACGCAAGAATTGGGAGCAGGTGTAGGCAATTCAGCTCTTTAAATCTGCTCTGCCATTCAATAAAATAAATCATAGCTGATCTGTCCATTTTTCACATTCCCATTTACCTTAATAACCTATAATTGTTCATTTAGGCTCAGCCCCAAGTTCAGAACTCAATCATCCACTGGAACACTTTTTTATTTTCCACATCAGGAGCTCCTATTAGCTCTAGGTGCAACATTGTCTAAATTGAATGAAATTAAGCAGTTTTTTTTAAGTTGTGGATAATGTATACAAGCAGATGAACTGTGACTAATCAAATTCCTGTTAGTGTTGAGCATCACTAACACCAATGAACTGAGCAATCCTTCAGCCCACCATTTAATCCAGATTCAAAACCAGGTCCCTCATGAAAAAGTAGCACAATGATCCACTGAGCCATCTAGCTCATTGTAAAACTTGAATCAATTCGCAAACTGTGATGAAGGCTGTCATAAGTCACATCCACCCGAGATGTTTACGAGCCATGACTCATTTGGAAGAAACTATTTAATCCAACAGACACAGGAAAATAAGTCTAAGAACTAATACAAGAATTAAAACAACAGGAGGAATTGCATTTACTCAGTAAATCAGACAGCAGTTGCAAAGAAAGAGCATTAAAGTACTGGGACACCATCCCTGCATCATATCTGAGTCTCAACACATTTCATAACCATATGCAAGTTAATATTTGAAATTTTCAGGGTATACACAAGAGTTTGAATGACACTTAAAGTGAAATAAAATTGAACAGATACTGATATCCTACCTTTCACCTGTCAAATATTCCAACTGTTTTACCGTCTTTACTCCTGCTTTGTCAATCTGGCAAAAAGACAATAATTAACTTTTCATTTAGGATATGCAAATGTATACATAAGAGGTTTCCCTCTACGGAAAAAGTAACATAATTCTGAGTGAATAAGTACTGCTACAGAATTCTTTGAAATATTAATTTTTCAATAATCTTTGTAGGACTCCAATGACTGGAACAAACAAACTGAACTATAGAGCTGAAAACTCTTTTCCAGTCCATCTATTCCACAGCTCAGCCTTGTGGAAATTAATTTTTAAAGTGATTGCTTCACCTGAATCTTCTGCAAACATTAGCATACAGCTCATTCACTACTGGAACACAGATAAAATCTAGCCCATTCTGAAAATCTCCTCCCATTCTTGACTGATTTGCTCAGTCATGTAGTTAGGTTGGAAAATGGAAACATCAGGTTGATGTAGTAAGGTATTCTCTTTTAGGCTGAACAGCATTAATGGATTGGGAAGGGTGAAGCCTCATATTTCACATAATTTCTAAACCCAATCCTGAGCTGACACCAGTTTAAAAAGTGATAAATATTCCCTCAAAGCAACGTGCCTCTTCTTGATGAATACAAATTAAAACACACCTCTAAACAAAAGGTTTCTCTTAGAATGTTCAAAAGAACTTGCTTTAAAATCACCTTTACAACATAAACTCCCTTTTACATGGGGCCATGATAATTCAACGAGCAGAAATTTCTGCTTTGCAGGATAGGATTTTTGAGTCTGTTCACTATTTCTCTATCTCCAAATCAACTCTAGCTTCCTGTTTAAAAATCCAATTTAAATCCTATCACACAAAGCCACGAATGTAACAATTAAACACAATTCAAACAAGTGATACTTAAAATATCATAAATTAAATGCTTTATTTCAAGTTTTTTTTCCCCCAAGCAATGCCCACAGCTGGATTCAGACCACTGAATTCGCTGGTGTATGTAACTGCTCTTTTCTTTACAAAAGAAACATTACTGGTATTTCACTTATTTTATAAACTGTTCTAACAGGACAGTGTTCTTTTGCCAGCGTTGTTTTATACGGAAGTCAAAAACTGTGATCACACTGTAGAGTAGTGTTTTATTTAGTGCACTGCACTATTCTTGAGAATAAGCAGAAGTTGCTGTTTGGCAAGATAAAGCAAACCAGTTTCCTGAAAGCAAAAGTCCCTTAAAAGGATGGCTTTTCGAGTCCAACACCAGCGCCTCCACATTATAGTAGGTCTTTAGCAGCAATTCAATTTGACAGACTGGTAAGATTAAATGGACAAAAGGGAAGTGAGTTTCATTGCCTTTGGTTCAGGCTGTGGTGAGTTAGTCAATTTTATCCGTCAGCAATGTGCCATGGTAATAATAGCTTTGCTTACTTCTGTTTAATTTACACTTCTTCAGAAGCAGAAAAAGTTGACACCAGCCAGAAGTGCTTTTGGTCATTTCCTGCTCAGCAAATTCTGTTGTGCCTGTTTTGCATTGATGTCAACCAAGGCTTTATTACAATGTTTTGAAAGAAATAATTGGCAGTACAAAGTTATAAGGAGTAAATGGCTTCAAATGCTACAGATTTATAGCTTTTTGTAAAGCAAATATTCAACTGACAGATCGTAACTACACTTTACCAAATATTTCACAATTGAGGGCAGTACCTGAAAAACAACATGGGAACACCCAGCAATGTTGGATAGCAATGTTTTTGTGTATAATCAATAGGACCTCTGGTTTGTGGCAATTCAATAAATCAACTTCTGATTTTGATACATGAGATTTGACCAGTGTTTCCATCTGTCTATAATTACAATGATGACCAAGTTGCATTTTGATTTTATGACACAGGTTCAAAGGAAATTCACCTGTGCTGTTGGACAATGCTGCTCATTTTTCCTGTGACAAACAGAAGTCACGAAAGTGGCTGTGGTGAACAGAACAGACGGAGCTCACACGATGAGTTCTGATAAGGGCCCCTTCAGCCAATTCTACTGCTTTCCTACTACAGCATGTCGCAGTTTATGAAGTATGTCTACAGCCACCCTTTCTGGCAACCTGTGCTAGCTACTAATCACTCACTCAGTCATTTAACAGCTGACCTGAATTTGTCCTTTATTGTAGATTTATTTATTTGTACTTTCTCAGTTTGCTGCCTTGTTGCCTTTGGAAATAGTGTCCCGGACCTTCTTTGCCTATCTCTTTAAATAACTGGATGAATGCTAAATTATCAAACTCTGTTTCCTTCGGTGACTAAATGCTGTGTGGAATCTGATGGTTGTTAAACTGCTGGGAAATTTTACTTTTTAAATGAGGTTAAGGAATTCTGTCTTATTTCTTAATTTTGGAAGACAAGGAGGAAGTTTGCAAACCTCCCATCAGTAGGTGACAGGTTTAGATAGAGTTCAAGGTAAATAAAATTGCATTTGGTTTTGTAGCAGGCATGTGCTTTAGTGATCAGTCATTCTGTATTCCATGGTTCTCATTATTTTAAATGAATCAATACAACATGCATCACATTTTTGATGCATGGAGTAGACCAGGTAAAAATTAATTCTTCACCCTCAGACGTATATGGCTACAGCTCAGGAATCTACAGATAACCCTCAAAATGATTATTTTCAAAATGAAGTCAACCTGGGGAATCAACAGCACACTATACTCTCCTTCCTCATCAGGAGAGGAAAGACACAAAGTATGTGAGGAGTAAAACAGGCAAGATTCTCCCACGTTTCTCCTCTGGCTACTCTCAGTTGACTAAGTCACACTGTTACTATGAAAAGATTATGCTTATGTTAACAAGCCAACTTTTTTTTAATTAAGAGAAAGAAAGTGATTTGACACCTTCATATACTACACAAAAGAACCCAGACACCAGGACTAAGATTGGGTTAGTATTCATCACTCATTGTGTGTAATCATGCTTTGATTTTACTCAAGACCTACAATCAGGCTGAATAGATTCCTTGCTGTACTGACATTGCAAAAGAATTATTGTTAAAACAAACTTGAAATCATGTCAGAATAAGTAATCATCTCCTTCTTTGGTTTCCATAGTTACCTCAAGGGTTAACGTTTCCACGCACACATTTTTCGGAAGGTCAATGTCAGGATTGAAGTGTTTTGCAATGGCGATCAAGAGATGTAATGTGGAGACTAAGTCCTTTTTGTAGATTACTGAAAGCGAAAGGAAACAACAGCTGACAATGGACCAAACAATAGTTTTGACTTGAGATGCACAGAGCAAGTAGACAGGATTTCCACATCAGTATTCTGAGCATTTGAAGAGTTGGGACTACGTGAGGTGCAATAAATATTTACTTTCATTCTTCTAACCCTTAACATGAGCCCCCGATCTTGCCTCACTCATCAGTGGGATTTTGACTGATTGGATATTACTGTCAGCCCCATTTTTATAACTGTTTGTGGAAACAACGTATGGGAATGCCATTAGGTCAAAGGGTCCTATTAAAATATAATTATTGGTCCAACAGATTTGTTAAGCTGTTCGTCCTGTAGACAAGTACTTGCCTTCCACTGCACAACTACACATAGCTGTATGGTTAAGACAAGAAGCTCGATATTTGCAGAGTTCTTCCCCATTACTCCGTGAGCCAGATGTGTTTCAATTTTTCTGTCGAGTCTCCATTGTAGCAGACTCCGAAGAAATTGCCCAGAAAATTAAATTGACCTCTGAGCAAGTCTCCTACAACTGGAACCTTCTGTCAGGTGCCATTAAATCAGAAAGTTCGGAAGGTTCTGACAAAATTAAGTAAAATAGCTCATTAGGTAAAGTTAGACTATTAAATACATAGCACAACCCCCAAGTAGCCATTAAACAGACTCCATACTTACATACTTCCAAATAGTTCACCCCCAGAGCACATACAATCGCCTTCCCCCAAGGCTGTGGTTTGCCTTCCTCTGACAGTATGAAAGAACTGTCAGAATAGAAGCATGGCTCTAAGTTTCTGAGGGAGAGCTGAACGGAATCTTCTCTCAGGAATGTGGTGCTCCCTTCTTTCATTAAATATAGGGGACGAATTGTCATTTCTCAGACAGTCTGATGCGTTGCTGTCGTTCCTTGCACAGGCTGTGAACTGTCATGAAAATTCTCCTTTCCTCAAAATGTAGATTCCAGCCCCAAACCAAACAACTCATTGATTCACATAAATGGAGTAATTACTCTGAACACCAGGTGAAATCAGCTGGCCGTGACAGGTTTCAGGATTTGTTTGCCCCTGTGCCCAAGACAGTCAGTGAGATATTTGGGAAGTGTCACCTTTGTGGCAGTAGCAGCTGTTGATGTTCTTTTGTTGGGTAGTAACATCACATTGCAGCACTGTGTCCCGAATGTGCCTGTTCACCTTATGGTGACACTCACAATGAACACAACATTACATTAATAGATAAGAACCAGTACATAACCTGAAACACTAAATCACATATTTAACTATCCTCCTTGATATGTGAAATTATAACACGCCTCCTTATTTTTCTTTAAATAAAGATATTTTGTAATGCTATGTCTGAGTCTTAAATAGAGATTGCCTCATTGCTGATTAGCACCAAGATAAAATACAGAACGTTGCTCCGGCTTAAGACTTAACAAGCATTAACAAAATTTAATTAAACTAAGCTAGACACTGTGAGTGAAGAGCTTCTCATTGTAGTTCAAACTCTATTTGAAGGTACACTGAAAAAGGAAATAATAAATAATTGTCAGTTGCTCTCCATAGTGGTCATACACGGATTATCATTTACATGTAATTCTTAATCACCCAAATACAATTGTCATTTCCAGTAGAGAATGGCAACATCTTGCTGTCTGACCATCTGTACTTAAATAGTGCAACTGAGAAAACTGAATGGAACACCTACACACAGCACAAAGTCATGAAGTGCTTCTTAGCATCAATGCTTTTGAAGGGACCTCATTTACATGCCCAATTGTGTCATCAATCGCCAAGCTCACATACAAAGTAACTAGCCATGACTAATCTTAAACTCCAGTGACCTGTTTTAACACCCCATATGTTGTTTCCAATAATAGGGAAATTCAAGTGAAAACGGTCATTCAGAGGAGAGATAAAAACAGAAAAAGTTGTTGAAATACGTATGTGGGACACAATCACAAGATCCTGAAATCTGCAGTTGCAAAAATCTATTAGAATCTTATAAACAACAAGACTCACCCTCCAACCCACACCCTACATCACATACATTTACTGACAGTGAAGTTAGGTGTCCTTCTGACCTTTGATTAATGGTCACAAAATACATTTTCACTCTCATTTTATCCTCTAATCCTTCTGCTGACTTACTGCATGCTCTTTCAGTCACCTCCTCCATTAACTACCTTGCAACCTCTTATGTCTCCAGCCCTCACGCTCACTTCTGCCAGGTCTTTATTCCTCAACACAATTCCTTACCAGTCCTCCACCCAGCAGCTTTGAGACCACTAGCCCTCAAAAATCCGACTCAATCCTTTAGAGCTTCAGAATGTTTTTTCAGCACTGAGCCAAAAACCAGTTACTGTGTTGAGGTACATAGTTTACCAACTGACTTTACAATAGTATATTTTAATATGAAACAGAATGTATCTAGACTGTAAAGTTCACCTGTATGCTACTGGATACTTACATTCAGTACTCCAGTTCGGATTGTCATCATCTGTAATTTGTAGAAGTTGGTTTATGGTATCCAATATAACACGCAGTTTCTGTTTCTGTGCATTGGCAGACAATGCAATTTCCTCCACATCCAGCTTGATATTTCCTAAATGTGCTTAAGGAGAGATACAGGGAAAATAAAAACTTCTGATTGAAATTGAACTCTCAACAGTGCAGATACATATAGGCAAGGAGAAGAGGCCTGAATTATATTAGCATCTGTTTCAGACCAGGACATGAGTTAACACAGTGGTTTTCAGCGCTTGTGTCTGTGTGTGTAGGCGTGAGTCTGTGTGTTTGAGAGACACACTTATGCATACAATGACTGAAATAATATTATCAAAATACTAATGTACTGTTCATGATAAGTTAGAAAATGTTATTTTATAAAGGCAGGTATATTGAATTATTGACCCTAAGGTACAGATTTCTGCAGACGCGCTATTGCTGTGTCTTTCTATGGCTATAAGAAACACTTGCCTTGCAGTCTTGCATGCTTGTTTTCAGGCTGACTTCCTAATTTCTAATGTTTACAGCTACAAACCTGGCCATTAGGTGAGCATGCGCTCAGGTGAATCACGACTGAATTGCTATTGCCAAATAAATTTGAAGGTTGGGAAGTGCTCATCAATTTTAAGTACATTTTAAGATAGACAATATGGAGCTGGAGTCTTTTCTTAACACGCTCCTGTTCAACCTGTCCTCAGTTATCCTTCACTTATTCACACTTAAAGAGAAATCTTAGAGTCCAGCACCTTTAACTTTGACCCTTTGGCATCCTTGCATTAAAACAATATTATGATCAAGATCCCTCAATTGTTACCTTACTTTCATCTCAATTGTTGCCCTGTTTAAAAACGCGGATTCACGAAGTAATCCAAAATATTTTCTAAAGGCAGTTTTCAATTTGACCACATGCATTTTCTCTACACCAGACAATGTTTGTGGCAGAGAAACAAAATACCATACAGAGGAACAGAACTGAAGCACACTGGGTCTCAACATGCTTACCTAGCAGATGGTGCAGCACTAATCCATCATATAGGTCTTCCTCCAGTGATTGGACAACAATATGATCCTGCTTCAGCGTAGCATTGATCCAGTCAATGAGAAACTGAGAAGAGGCATAAGAGCTGGTTCAGCAGTTCATAAGTAAATAAATTCCAAATTACATTTTAAATTAAAATACACAATATCTAATGGCATAACAAAAAATTAGTAAAAAGCTAACATTTGCATGAAGTTCCCACCTGCAAACAATATTTCCTGTTGTCAAATTTTCCATTATACATTTAACATATATAATGAAAAAGCTTTCTCTATGTTAACTAGCTGCTTTAAAAGGTGTAATTCCAAAGCAAACGCTATGCTATCTGTCCATACAAAATACTCAAAATATTTTCACATTTCTAATTCCTCATACCAGATAGTATCCTAGCTTTCCTGCTGTGCATTCTCCTTGTAATTTGGAGTCAAAATCTGCTGCACAGTAGCAATCAACAAGTAAATCTCAACCAGATGGTTGAAGAATAATAAATATGTTTAAACACAAAAAGACTTCAAACTGGGGAGTCATCGAATAATTGACCATACAACTAGAGGGAAGCTATTTAGCCAGTCTTTTTGTGTGCCAGCTCTTTGCAAGAGCAACTTTCCTGATGCCACTCCCCTGGTTTTTTTCCTGTAGCCCTTCAATCTTTTCCTCTACAGATTATTATCAAATGCTCTTTTGAAAGCCATGACTTCTGCCTCAATGGGAGTCTCGGGCAGTACATTTCACTCACGGTGTAGGATGCTTTCCCATTTCAACCATTCTGCCAATGGGAACAGTTTCACTCCATCTACTCTGCCCAAATCCACCAATGTCAGACTGAGGAAAGAGGTGTAGACACATAGGTTGAAAATCAGATTGTAGGAGAGAAGGGGATTACTTGAGGTATGGATAAGGATTGAACTAAAAGAGTGAAGCGACACCCAAAGATAACTGCAAATTAGCTGGACTACAAAAATCTGTAGGGTTAGGAGCAGAGGAATGGAGTAATTTGAAATTGAGCGCATTGATGTATATGCGTGGAAACCAGAATGAAATAGAAACACAGAAAATAGTAGCAGGAGTAAGCCACTCAGCCCATTGATCTCACTCCACCATTCAACATAATCCTAGCTGATCCTGTGTCTCATTGCCATACCCCCACACTCTCTCCATATACTTTGACATCTATAACATGTAGAAATCTGTTTATTCCTTGAACATATTCAGTGACCTGCCTCTATGCGATTGAGAATTACATAGGTTCACCACTCCAAGAGGGAAGAAATTTTTCCTGATCTTAGTCGAAATGGGGTACATCATACCTTGGGACCCTAACTCCCTTATTCTGGATCCTCTGACCAAGAGAAACATCATCCTCGATCCACTCTGTCTATCCCTGTCAGAATTTTACATGTTTCAATGCGATTTCCTCTTATTCTCCTAAAGTCCGGCGAATAAAAGCTCAATTGACCTCTCCTCACTGCGCAAACCTGCTAACCCAGGAATCAGTCTAGTGAACATTTATTGAACTCCCTCTATGGCAAGTATAGACTTTTCTCCACAATGAGACCAAAGCTGCACACAATACGCCAGGGTGTGGCCCCACTAAGGCTTTCTACAGCTACGATAAGATTTCCTTTCTCCTGTAATTGAAGCCTTTTTATGCAATGAAGACCAACATACCATTTATCTTTCTAACTTCTTGCAACACATACATGCTTGCTTCCAGTGACAAGAATACCCAGGTTCCTTTATGCATCAACAGTCCCCAATCTATCACCATTTAAGTAATACTCTGCCATTCTTCTTTTCTGTTTGAAGTGGACAGCTTCATATTTATCCACATTTTAAGGCAAATGCCTTGCATTTGTCCACCCACTCTACTTGTCTAAATCGCTCTGAAGCCTCTTTACATCCTCCTGACTACTCTCACTCCCTGTTGTTAGCAAAGTGGACATTCCCTTATCTAAATCATTAATGTACATTGTAAAGAACTAGGGCCCAAGTACTAATCCCTACGGTACCTCACTTATCATTGTCTTTCACTCCAAAAAAGAGACATTTATTTCTCCTGTCTTTTCTGTCTGCTAACCAATTCTCTATCTATGCTGGTATTTTATCAATTCCATGTGCTTTGATTTTGCACATTAACTTCTTACATGGGGCTTTTTCAAACAATTTAACGTTTTATTTTTAAAGTTACAAATGCCACAAAAAGTTCTTCTAAAAATATATCTAAAGACTACTATCCTGAAGCTGGTCATTACTTCAATGTTCAGACATACAATGGACCACTGAGATTTCAAAAGGGCAAGTGGACAATTAAGTGTCACTAAATTCCAAAGTGCTCGGGATGTAGAAGTAAAATCAATAGAAATGTGACCTTTTCCTCAGACAGATCAAGGTCTCTACCTTCATCTCAATCTATACTGTTAGTGGTCACGATAAAGACAGAAGGCAGGTGAAGTTTTTACCATCATTAATTTGTCGAATTTAGGATTCTTTAGTGAATTTGGCTGTATAAATTTTCTTCTTTCACCTGTAAAAACAAAAAGGGATATCTAAACCAACAGTAGATCAATAATTAACATTTCTTCTCAGCATATTCTATTGAGTAAATATAATCAGGAACTGTTTGCAAATGACAAGTCATTACATGCAAGGGCCAACTTCAGCATTAATTATACGGGTTATTTTAGGCTTTGACTTTAGCAGCACGTATGTACAGTACAATCAGATGTAGGATTAAATCTGCAGTTTACAAACAGCTGTTTCTGGAGCTGACTAGGCTGTAACAACAGGGCAATGGGGAAATTCACTGGGTGAAACCCCCAGGCACATGGGTGCAGACTATCTGGAAGCCCTTTTAAAGATGGGAGCTTTGGAACAATACAGACCATCATCTGCAGAAACTGAAGCAGGAAGGAAAATTAACATTTAAAAGATTAGATACAACATTAAGACATTACACAGAGTCACAGAGTTGCTACTGGACAGAAGACGACCATTCAGCTCATTGGTATTGGACATCGGATGATGTCTAGATTGGTTCTCCCACAAAGATCATTACGTAGTGTCATTGTCCTGCCTTTTCCCCATACCCTTTCATAGTATTGCTATTCAAATAATCATTCAATGCCCTCTTGAATGCCTCAATTGAACCTCACTCCAGGCAGTTTTCCAAATCTGACCATGTTGTGTGAAAACATTTTTCTCACATCACATTTGCAAATCATTTTAAGCCTGTACGCTCTCATTGTCACTCATCTTATAAAGAGGAGCAGTTTTTTTCATTTACTGTTTGCTCTATCCAGACCTCTAATGATTTTGAAAACCTTCATTAGATTTTGTCTTAGCCTTTTCTCTCCAAGGAGAGCAGTCCCTAACCTCTCCAATCTATCCTCATACTGAGGTTTCTCGTCCTGAGAACTATTCTCAAAATCCCTTTAGAATCTCTCTAAAGCATTCACATCCTTGCTGTAGTGTGGCATTCAGAACTGTACACAATACTCCATCTGAAATTTAACTAGTATAAGGTCATCATAGCCTCCTTGTTCTTGTTTTCAGTGCCCCTGTGAATAAAGCTCAGGGTACAATATGCTTTAACAACTGCTCTCTCCACCTGTTCTACCATCTTCAGTGATCTGTGCACACTCAGATCTCACTACTCCTGCACTCCACAGATACTTTACCACCAGTTTTGCATTGTCTGCCCATGTTCCTTCACCAAAATACATTACCTCACATTTCTTTGTATTAAACTTCATCTGTCATCCAGTTGCCCACTCCACCAACTTGTCAATCTCCTTTACAAAGTCTAAACTGACCTCCTTACAGTTTAAAACATTTTCCAGTTTCATATTATGCAAAAGCTTTGAAATTTCCCCTGCACACCAAGATCTCAATAATACATCATGAAAAGAAAGGATTCCAATTCTGATCCCAAGGGATCTCCAGTACAAACCTACCTCTAGCCCAAAAAATATCCATTGGTCACTATTTTGTTCCCAAATACCCAGCCAATCTTTTATCCACTTTGCTACTGTCCCTTTTATTCATGAGCTATACAGCATTTTTCACAAGAGTTTTGTGTGGCACTGTATCAAATACTGTTCCAAAGTTCACGTTCACCACATCAACAGAATTTCCCTCATCGGCCCTTTCATTACCCCTTCAAAAAAACTCCACGTTAGTCAAACACAATTCCCTCTTTCTCCATTCTGTCTCTTCCTAAAACTCTTTTGTTTTAGATGTGGCCACTAACTCTGTCCCAATAATTGTTTCCTGAAGTTTCTTACTGAGGTTAAACTGATTGGTTTGTAATTGCTAGCCATATCCTTACAACCTTTTTTGAACTAGAGCATAGTGTCTTCTATTATGCAGTCCTTTGGCGCCTGCCCTGAGTCGAGGGAGGTCGAAAAGATAATGGTCAGTGCCCTGACAGTTTTCATCCTATCTTACTTCAATGTTGTTGGATGCATTTCAACTGGTCCCATTGCCCTGTCAATTTTAAGTATCAATAGCCTGTCCAACATTTCCTTCTTATCAATTTCAGTGACAGATTCCACCTCTCTCAACATTGCCTGGATAGCATTACTTTCTTATAGAACAGAATCCCTACATTGTGGAAACAGGCCATTCGGCCCAACAAGTCTACACCAATTTTCCAAAAGCATCCCACCCAGACTCACCTCTCTACCCTATCCCTGTAATCCTGTACTTTCCATGGCTAGACCACCTAACCTACACATCACTGGACACTATTGGCAATTTCCCATGGCCAATCCACCTAACCTGCACACATCTTTGGACTGTGAGAGGAAACCACAGCATCATGAGAAAACCCACGCAGACACGGGGAGAATGTGGAAACTCCACACTGACAGTCGCCGAGGGTGGTATTGGCACTGTGAGGCAGCAGTGCTAACTATTGAGCCACCATGCTGCCCTCTTGTTAAAGACAGATACAAAACATACATTTACTAACTCAGAGATAGCAGGAACTGCAGATGCTGGACAATCTGAGATAACAAGGTGTAGAGCTGGATGAACACAGCAGGCCAAGCAGCATCAGAAGGGTCTAGGCCTGAAACGTCAGCCTTCCTGCTCCTCTGATGCTGCTTGGCCTGCTGTGTTCACCCAGCTCTACACTTTATTATCTCATTTACTAACTCAACTGTGCCTCCTATTTCAATGTGTAAATCCCCTTTTTGGTCCTTAAATCACTAAACCTCCTTTCATCACCCTTTTACTATTGATGTGCCAATAGAAAACTTTGGGATTTTCTTTATGTTGGTTGCCAGTCTTCTCTCATAATCCCTCTCTACTTCTTTATTATGCTTTTTAACTCCCGAACAGTGCTGGGACATCAAACTTTTCTACTTGAATTGTTTTTCCTGCCATATGATCAGGAAATAGCACTGGAGTATTTTGAAACCTTCCACTCTCTCAACAGAAAGACATGTTGTGTAGAGATGCCAAGAGAAAATTTAGAAGAAAAATCATTTTTTAAAAAGCAATATCAGCACAAACCTGGAGCAATGTCAATTTCTGGTGATGGTTTAAATTCTTCATACGCAGTGACAAGATTAGGAATAGATGAGTCCATTTCACTTTGCTTCTCCTGTAGATACAAATATGTAATTGTCTCTACAAAACATGTCTCTATAAAAGATTATCTACAAGATTAATGGTTTGAAATGAATAGAGCTCAAATCATCAGACATTACCAAATACCTGCTTTACTCAGATAGCCATCAGTATAACTAATGTGCAACCTAGTTCAACACAGATAACACCATCAGGTATCACAAATCCTACAGCCTATTGTATTCAGCTGACATTTGTGGGACTTTTCACAATTACGTTGCACAAATAATTTGGTAACATTTTTTCGACTGACTTTCACCTTAACCCCTTTCTTTGTTGATGAGTTTATAGTTTGTAAAAACAAAAATGCTGAAAATACTCCATGGGGTGGATCTTACAAAAAGAGTGGATTACCATCCTCACATCCTTCCCAAAAGTCCATGGGCACTTTACTGACCAGAAACCCAGCTACCCTGCAGGGATAATATTCCAGGAATGGCCTTAACAAACTCACAAAGGGACTTGTGCCCCTCAAAGACAGGAAGTCTCAAGTTAAACCAATCTGATCGTCTGGCAGGTCTGAAGTTCCACTAACATCAGAAGAGAGTAGAGGTCACTGTTGGGACTGGAAGCAATCGAGAAGAAGAAAAAAATGGATGGCAGACTTAAGTGACACTTTGAGCAGACACAGCTAGGAGACCAAGGGGAGTTTGGGGGGATGATTGAGACAAGGCCTGTACCATTTTGGGGAGTTGGCAGTAGCTCAATGGGCATAGGGAACCCTAAAAAGATACCACCCCCACCCCCAATACCTGCCCATCGTTAACCTGTGCAGTGTAAGGAGCTGGGTTAATCATCTTCCCCACAGAGCAAGCAATTGTGACACAGGCAGAACAAGGCCCTCACGAGGGAGTTGATTGCCCACT